CCCTCTTGCCGCCTCGTCCCTCTTTAGCCGCCCCCCGCCCCTCCCCAGTCACCAGGCCCACCCACGTCCAGATGTGGCCGATCCTTTAGCCGCCCCCCCCCCCCTCCGAAAGGAGAACTGGTCTGGGCGTTGGGTCCTGGCAGGCCCGGCGGGCCGTCCGCATGCTTGAACCCATGCCTACAGAGGGAGGTATGGCCGGAAGGGAGCAACCCCCCCTTTTCCCCGGTGCCCGGGGGACATCCGCCTCCCCTGCCGAGTCCGGAGGGAGGGGCCCGGGGGGCGTTATCACACTCACGTTGGCGCACGCCAGCCGCCACTTCGGCCATATGCCACCGCGTCGACGGAAGCCGACAGAGCGCCCCAGTCTGGACCGTTACATCCCAGACAGCAGGGAACTAGGACCAAGACGCCACAGGGGGGGCGGGGGGGGGGGGGGAAACCCACACTGGGAAGAGCCCGAGCCACCCCACGGCTCGGCCCTGTCCCCGCCCCTGCCTTCCCCCCCCCCCCCTCTGGGCCCAGGGAAGAGGAGGGACAGAGGAAGGGCTAGCGGGAGGGCGGGGGGAGGGAGGAACGTGCACATCAATCGGAGAGGGGGGGGGGGGACGTGCCTGGTGTGTGTGTGAGCTGGAGGCACGCAAGGCGGCGTATGGCCCCGCGCATGAAGCCCTCCCCAGCCTGCAAAAACACGAAAAAAAAGCGTGCGCTTATAATATTCCGGAATTTGTCCATGTCTTGCTGGTTTTCAGTTCCTTTCGCCTACACCAGAATCGGAGGAACGAAGAGGGCAGCGCGGGGGGGAGAGGGGGGGGGGGCCGCCGCACTGTGGGGCGAGGACGCTGATATTTCCGTGACCCTTCCCCGTCCTGCCCCCCCCCTTGGTTGAGTCCACTCGGGGGGAATGAAGAACCATTCGTGCGGGGGGGGCGGGGGGCGCTGCACAGGGGGCGGGGTGTTGGTAAGCGCGACGGGGCCCGCCGCCCAGCCAAGGACGCCCATCCCCGCCTGTGGTCGAACAGGGACCAGAGGGGTGGCCCTCCGGCGCCCTGTCCGGGAGACGAAAGGTTCGGGGGGCGCGGGTGATGTGTCGTGGGCTGCGCCCGGGGGGGAGGGGGGGGGCGAGAGAGGGGACCTAGAGCGGAGAAATGTGTCACCCTACTCCTTCGCCCTGGTTCGGCGAAGACCAGTTAAATGTTTTCCCCTGTTTGGGCGCACCGGCCCGCGCGCGCGCGCGCGCACACGCGAGCGACCCCCTCGGGCGCTTTGACTACCAA